GTTTTGGGACAAAGTCCCTCTCTGTTGCCCCAGGCTAGAGTGCCATGGCATCAGCCTAGTTCACAACAACCTAAAACTTCTGGGCTCAAGTGATCCTCCTGCCTCAGCCTCCAGAATAGCTGGGACTACAGGTGCCTGCCACAATGCCTGGCTAATTTTTCTATTTTTAATAGAGACATGGTCTCACTTTTTCTCAGGCTGGTCTCAAACTCCTGAGCTCAAGCAGTCCTCCTGCCTCAGTGTCCAAGAGTGCTAGAATTATAGGTGTGAGTCACTGTGCCTGGCCTCTGGAGACATATTTAATAGTTATGACTTTGTGGGGAGTTGCTACTGGTATCCCATGAACACAGGCCAGAAATGCTGCTAAATATTCTATAATGCACAGGCTATCAATAGGAATTTGGTAGAAATCAAACCTTCAAGGCATTTTCTGAGAGTATCTTAGACCCAGTCTGAGCACCTGCAGCCCTGACTCCTGAGAATCTGTGTCCAGAGAAGGATCCTGAGATCCTGTGTAATCATGAATCTGAGTACACAGATTCCTAGGCTCTGCTCTGCTATCCATAATACAGGAAAGTAGGTATTTGTTAAACATTTGCAATAATAGGCCTTGAAACAATCAATTCTTTTGTAATTTTCTGGGTTAACCACAAAGTTCAGTCAACCATATTTCTCATTCTCCACGGCTTGCTTTATTTATTTATGCCCAGGACTGAGTTTCAGCTTGATTGCTCCCTTCCAGGTGAGTGCTAGTAGGATGTCCTCTTCTTCATCATGCTCCTCCCTTATTTTTCTGGCCTTAACCTTGATCTGGACTAAATTGGGAAAATTTCCCATCTATCATTTTGATCTGTTATCTGGCTAGCCAGGAGCAAAGGAGATGATTGGTGGGATTCTTTTCATCTAGGGTTATGGATAGTTTTCCTGAATGGTGCTTGTGTGGGTCCTGGCAGCAGGAGAGAGAGGACCATGATGCCTCTGCTCCTAGGATGGAGAAGGTGGGAATTATGTGCAAGAGCTTGGGCAGGAAGAGGGATGAAGCACAGCCCATTGCTAACAATTGGTGAAGATAACAGCACTGTGGTTCTGAGTCCAAGAGGCCAAAGGAGTTGCCCAGACCTAGAGTAGAAGAACCCAGTAGTTTAGCTACAAGCCAGAAGAGGCATCCAAGAAGATGGGAGGACAAATTATTACGAAGGCAGGCTAGTCCTTGAGCAGCCCCAGAGGAGTAGAATTGTGTTTTTATGTTACTTTCAGGCTGGGCCATAGACCCAAGTAGTGAGGGAAGTCTAGCTCTTTCTACTAGCCACAGTGTGCCCAGAAAATGAGAGGACAAAGTTCTGCCCAGTAGCTAAGTGCCTGTTGCTCTTGGGGTCACTACGTCCAGACCTGCCCATGTAGCTTCTGCAACTATAAAATGGGCTGACAGTGCTTGCCTTACAGGCTTCCAGGGTTCTTCTGACAAACCTGAGACTTAAAGCACATTAAAGTTTGGGTACATTAAAAGTAAGGGAGACTATGCGGCTCATTTTATCTTGTCCTGCAGAGGGAATGAGAAGGCCTTGGGGAAGACAAAAGAATACCTTCTTACAAGTGGCTGGCTGACTTCTCTAACCTAGACTGTACTAAAATGGCATTACATGGACTTTCCCAGTTGACAAAGTGGTTTCGTATACATTATCTCCTCTGGTCCTCTCAGGTATTGTCAGTCCCATTTTACAGATGAGAAGGGAATCTGATGATTAGGGAGGATAAATGACTTCCTCAAGGTAGGAGTTGGTTCATACCATGAGTGCCTTATGGGGACTTAGCCTGGGTTAGTGGCTGGGATTTAGTACCAGAAAGAATACAAACAGAGCAGCCCATAGGAAAGTGATCCATGCCAAAGGAAGGGTAAGAGGAGAATAGAGCCCCATCATATA